ATTGTGAAATTGAGAAACGTAGTGATATTAATATGCTCGAATATGTCGAAAAGTTTCTACCAAAAATATCCTACCCTTCGTGTTACATAGACCAGACTATTTATTTATTAAAGACATATTTATGTTTAACGTTCTTTTTTTATAGATACGCCAGATCAGTTATGAATGTACGAGATTCATGGAAGATTGAAGTTTATAAGCAGTAAATTCGACCTTGTGGCCGAGACGGTAAGGCACGTCAGCGTAAATGACGGTTCCGTATAGGATGCAGGTTCGAATCCTGTCAAAGGACGAATATTTTCTATGAAAATTTCTCGGACATTCAGGCCGGTAAATGTTATTTAATACTGTTTATTATAAACAGAGCATTTACTTAAATACTTGTATCTATAAAAAAAGAACGTTAAACATAAAAGTCTTTAATAAATAAATTGTCGGACTTTGTCCATTTCTTAATATATAGACCAGACTATATATGCATGGATATAATATCTATGATTGCATAAAAAGACTGTAATTTAAATATCTTTCATCTGACTGTCCGCCATCTTGGGCTCTGATCATCTGGTATTAGTGATATTTTAACAGTTCCTTGTGATGTGTCTGGTCATTAGTCGGTCTCTGTTGTCAATGAAGGTCTTCTTCTGATCCATTTAACTGATATATCTGATGTCAACCATTCTTTCTTGGACTATTTACATTATTTGGACTTATTCATTGCCATATTTCCAATGTTTTTACGCTCCGGCCTGTTGCAGTTTTTTGGGCATATGTTTACTAGTGAGCTAGCCTAAATGTGTTGACTCATTTTATAGTTCACCAATAGAAGGGTTAACCAATCAGAAAGCTCAAAATATTCAATGCGACGTGTATAAAGGCAGCCATTTTTTTTCTCCCAAATTGTCTGCACTGCCAACCTGATATCGAAGACTTAAAGAATTACTTAACAACCGCTACTTTCTCTGAATCTTCACTGCCGACCTCTGATATTGAACAGATTACGGACTTCACTGGATTTCATATTCAGAGACTGCGGCGAACATGGTCAACACATCCTTCTTCAGGTGATCGGAATTTTCGAGCCGAATACTTTATTCCGTCCACCGGGTTAGATTATTCTAGCTCCACGTGCCATGCCTCTTCCGGATGTCTCAGTTATTTCCTTTTAACTCAAATCTCCAAGTTTTTCGCTTCACCATTACTGTAGTCCGATATTGAACTCACAACTCTTTGGGTCTAATCACTGGATCTAACTCCTTTATCCACTGGGCCGTGTGTCCTTGAGCCATATTCGACAAAGAATGGCTCTTAGAAGAAGAGGAATACATCTTCCGCTAATCCTCTGCGTCTTCGGAATTGTGTCGCATTTCTTGTTATTACACTCCCTAAATTCGGTACCTCCTTGGAGTTTGACGTCCCCAGTACGTATTCCACGTTTTAGGATTGTCTCTTTTGCTGACAACAAAACCATTTTTCATACAATTAACAGCTCGTCCTTTCTTCATGCTTTCCTTTCCTACTTTATTTAAGAGTATCTTCAGTTACCGTTCTGATTCTACCATCAACGTTGTTTCATTCGCGTATCTTATGTCGCTAAGATGGTGTCCGCCGATTTATAGCTAGACTACGCGTTTCATTTGCAGGTGGAATGACTATTTACCTGCCGTTCAAACTACCGATTCACTTACCAAGCACCAAACGGAAACACGCATAAATTAGCATGAATAGAAGATATAAACATATGTGTCAGGTATCTCGTCAGTGAAGCGTAGAAATATGAGTATGTGTAAATCCCTTCCACTTAACAAATACTGATGACGTTAATGATGATCATCGTTTGATTTAAATACATAGATACTTAAAGACATAAATAAGGGCTACGTTTTCTATAGTTACAGAAATGTTCTCCAGAACTGGCTCCTGTTCTCTCTAAACTCTACAATAAATGACCTAGAGTCTGTTGTTAACTGGGGCAAAGAATGGCTTGTTAATTTTAACGCCTCTAAAACAAAATTGCTCTCTATTAATCATCTGGGAGACCCCTCTCTGCTTACCATCAGAATGGCTGACGCTGAATTCTAGGAGCCTTTTGAGGTAACATTCTAGGCTAATATGAAGCAGGTAGACTATATTGAATCCATTGCTAGGTCAGCTGCTAAGAAAGTTGGTTTTGTGTCGTGTTAGACAATTTTTTCTCTCCAGAATCTATTTTATATATCTATAAGTCTACCATTCGCCCATGCTAAGAATATTGCTGCCATATATGGTCTGGTGATCCTGTTATATATTTAGAGATACTTGATAAAATCTAATGAAGAATCAGCAATATTATTGGCCCTAATCTGGTATCACGGCTTCAATCACTTTCCCACCACCGTAAAGTTGCTACCTTTTTATATAAATAGTTTCATGGTAAGTGTTCGGATGAGCTCATCGCTATGGTACCTAGACTTTATGAATTTAAGGACAGTATTAGATTGGCGGTAAGGTCTCAGTTTACTATTAATAATAATGAGTGCCAGAGAAAAGCGATAATAACAACAAAAATTGCAATATGAGCTCTGGTAAAATCATGGAATAATAACAGCAAAAAATTGCAATATGAGCACTGGTTAAAAATAAGTTGCTGATGAGATTAGGTTTATAATACCCAGAAATTAATACACAGATGTCCTCAGGGGCACATGGCACAGTGGATAAAGGCTTGGTTAGATCCAGTGAAAGAGTGTGAGTTTAATACCCGGTTAAGGCAGTTGAGAACTTTCAAAGGGGAATTAACAGGAGATAACTGATAACTGACATGTGGAACTAGAACAGTCTACCCCAGTGAGCGAAATAAAAAGTTCAGTTCAACATTCTAACCACTTGAAAAAGGCCGGAGCGTACATCGGCCGAAACGTTGTGATAAATATGGCAACAAAGATGAGGACAATAGCCCGAATAGTGTAAATAGTGTACATAATACCTCACCTCAGAAATATAGACAGATATAACAGTTTCTTTTCTCGAACTTCTCGCTTGTGGAACTCTATTCCTTCTTATTGCACCCAGTGAACTTTGATCTTCAAAAATTGAAACGCAACACCAATCGTTATCTTCTGTCTTCTTAATTCTTCTTCTTTTATTGGGCCTTCTCCTTTATAAGGATTTTTTCTCAGATTCTTTTCCAGTAAACCCTTGAGTTTTACTGGCGTTATAAATGAAATGATTAAGAAAACTAATCTGTTACTACGTAGAACTTACTGAACACGCCCCTATTGTGACCTTTTGCCAGACTTAGCCAAAGTTATTACTTTTGTAGTGAAATCAGTTCGCAGTTGGATACCAGCTATGGCTTTTTTGACTAATTAATAAATGCATAAGGCACGGTGGAGTAATGGATAGCGGCTCGGATTGAGGAATATCAGCATATCAACACCTCAATGGGTCATTTAATGCCGGCAACTTTTTTCCTGGTAATATTTTTGTTTTCTTAAAAATCTATTTCTGGTAATATTTTTTTTTTCTCAAAAATATATAGCTGGTAATATAATTTTAAAAAATATATTGCTGGTAATATTTTTTTTTCAAAAACGTATTGATGATAATAGTTTTTCTTCTTCAGAAATTTATTCTTGGTAATAATTTTTTTACAAAGTATTTCTGATATTAAAACCTATTTTTACATTTTCATAATGCTTTTTACCTCAGTTTCGGGGTTAACTATTTGCCCATAGCTGGGACCCTAACAGGTGCTACCACTCCGGGTCAGGGTGGACCTGAGAACACCAGCAATTAAGAGGTGGTTCCACGCTCCTCAAAACCTCCTGATCAGAGGCCTTGCTGTTTGATGTAGTTTAACGTCTTACCCTGGACGGTTTTTTTTATAATATATATATATATATATATATATATATATATATATATATATATATATGTTTTTCATGGTCAATTTTGAATCAAGTAAAGAGTAAAGTTAGTCATCCTGTTTCGTAGACGGTCAGTGTAATCGGTCCGTTTTTTCTGGATCCCCCACTATAATGAAAGTTTTAATAATTTTTTTCTTTTTACAATGATGTTCACCATGTTCAACGCCCAACAGCCACTCAAGGTAGAGTGTTGAAGAAGCACAGTTTATGTGGATATGGTGGGAAGATAACATATGTTTTAGCCAGTGATTACAATGGTTTACAACACTCTAGTAACGGCAGTAATAATAATAATAATGTCACTAATGAGGAATGCAGTCACTTTTGTATAATTACTTCGTAAGTTATCAACACAGGCAGATAAGCCCGTCGCCAAGATAAACAAAGCAAAACGTAGAAAAAACCTGTATCTGCAAACAAACTTGCAGATGTTTTGCGGAGTGAACTCAACGGTTAGTGGGCGGGCGGAAACAAGCGTAACTAATAAACTCATCGTAACATAGACAAAACTTTCCCTTTTCAAACGACAACTTTGATGAATATATTCTTTTAACTTCAAGCCAACAAGAGCCACCCCACCAATTCAGGCTTCGCTCCCGTCTCTGTTTTCTTTTAATGTCCCATCCTTTCAGATTGTAGTCGATCACGGCCCTCCACAGTTTTCTTTTACCTTAGTGTCTGTAAATTGCCATGACGTCTTCGTAAAACCAGTGGAATCGTTTCACGTTGGATACTCTGTGGTTTTAAATTAATTCGCTTAGACCGGATGCCCAGCAAAGCAAGAGAGTCCAGTCTGTCCTGCTATTTTACTTGTTGTTAGGGAGAGAATAGGTGGGTTTATGTTTTTACCCAAAATAATTTGCGCAAATCTGAACGTAACAGTATGGACCAGAATTTGAACCCGGTTCGCCAATTATAAATTCGGTGTCGATTGCAGTTACTCATACACAAACTCCTTAGTTTTCTCATCAGCGATATAATATGCATTAACCGCATTTTATGTTTTCTGAAAGCTATGTATGCTTTTATTCTTTGAGTAAAAGCCGTTAAGTCTAAAAGTAAGTCGGCCTTTTCGGGTTTAAAGAAAAAAAAATGATTCGCAATCGTTTTTTTTTTTGTTCAATTCGACTCCGAACGCGGTTGGCTGGAAGAAAATGTGTCCTTAATGGATAAACTACGACTTCCGGTCCAGGTGCGTACGACGTAACCGATAAATTTTATTTCAACGTCCATATAAATTTTTGACACATATTACATGTCAGTTTAGACGCATAAAACTCTCCTTGTCTACCACAACTCTGCCTACACAACATTAACTCACAAAGAAATTTAGGATTAAAAAGATGAAAAAAGACTTATACGAGCTGAAACTTTAAATATATAACAATAACGTGCCACAAAGAAAAGAAGATCAAATAACAAAAACAAAAAAATATTCACTTCTTGCCCGAATGCGCCAGCAGTGCTTTTTTCTGTCCTTATAAGAATAAACAAAAGTAATGTAAATGCTTTCTAAAAGCTAAACTATGTATTAAGAAACTGGAAAACATTTATTAGAAACAAAGAAAAGAGTGTTGGACTGTTATGTAATATCGGACCTCCTCTTTGGCACTCAATGCTGCTGAATTACATTACGGATGAAGAGAAGACTGAAGACAACAGAAATATCTTTCTACAGAAGGATGCTGAGAATACTATGGACGGAAAATTCGTTAGAAACAAGGAAAAAAAGTGCTGAACTGCTATGTAATTTAATCACAGATGTTATTCTATATAAGGAGGTAGAGAATTCCATAGAAGGAACATGTGAAGAATGAGGAAGTTTTAATCAAAATCGTAACAAAAAGACATTTGTATGTAGAATCTGAGAGAAACAGTAACTGTCTATATTTCTGAGATGAGTTATTATGTACACTATTTACATTATTCGGACTGTTGACCTCAGTGTCCACTTTTATATTGACGTACGCTCTTTCCGTGATATTGAGCACTTTACGTTGGCTCCTAAGTCTCATTTCCCTTGTTGTCCTAGGGTCCCAACACTATATCTTAATTAATTTTGGTACAAGCGACTTTATGTTTTGACGTTTCTTATATTTCGGGTACAGGACGACGCACCCGTCCGGTACCCGAGTCCATATTACAATCCAGCAGAGCCCCAAACGACCCAACCGTGGCTCGTTGGAAAATTCCTAATATACAAGTATTACGTTAACACAAACTCTCTTTTTCTATATAAAAAAAAAAAAAAATGTGGGAGAAAATTTTTGTGTGTGGATTCAAAGTATATATATATATATATATATATATATATATATATATATATATATATATAAGACATTATGAATGGACAAAGTCCAACAATTATTCTTTAAAGACATTTTAAATATTTGTATCTATAAAAAGAATGTATAAACATAAAAATGTCTTAGAAAAAATATTGTCGGACTTTGTCCATTTCATAAAGTGTGACGTCATTTGTTTACATTTGGATACGCCATGAGCAGATATGAATGTATGTGAGAGAATCATGTAAGATTGTATTTTAAAAACGGTAAAATCGATCTCGCTAATCGAACGCTCCTCTGTAGCCAAATCGGTAAAGGCACATCAAGCTAAATGACGGTTCCGTATAGGATACAGGTTCGATTTCTGTCGGAGGACGGATATTTTGTATGAAAATTTCCCGGACATTCAGGCCGGTAAATGTTGTTTAATACTGTTTATTATAAACAGAGCATTTACTTAAATATTTGAGTTTATAAAAAGAATGTATAAACATAAAAATGTCGAATCCTATGTTAGAGGCCATTGAAAATAAGACGCATAGGTCTAACATGCGCGCCAATACTCCGAAAGCCCACAGTCCGAAATCAGTCAAATGTCTCTAAAAGAAACAAATTGAGAACACATTTGCGTTCTCGGGGCGTGATACCTGCTTACAGTATGTGTCACCGTCTATAACCCAGACACAGGCTGGGCATTCGTGGCCGCCACTATGCCACGAAATGGTGAAATATTTTTTAAATTTTAGGAGAATATCTATTGCTTCCAAGGATGCACATAATCTACCCAAGTCAAAAACGGCGTCGTCCTTGAAGGTCCTGAAATTTTCCCTCAGTATCTATCTATCTATCTATCTATCTATCTATCTATCTATCTATCTATCTATCTATCTATCTCAGTCTGTTCATTATCTATTCATTCATTCATCATCTATCTATCTATCTATCTATCTATCTATCTATCTCAGGCTGTTCATTATCTATCTATCTATCTATCTATCTATCTATCTATCTATCTATCTATCTATCTATCTATCTATCCATCTATCTATCTATCTATTCATCATCTATCTATCTATCTATCTATCTATCTATCTATCTATCTCGGCCTATTCGTATCTATCTATATATCTCAGTCTATTTCTATCTATCTATCTATCTATCTATCTATCTATCTATCTATCTATCTATCTATCTATCTCAGCCTATTCGTATATATATACCTCAGTCTATCCGTATCTATCTATCTGTCTATCTCGGCCTATTCGTATCTATCTATATATATATCAGTCTGTCTATCATTCATTCATTCATCTATTCATTCATCTATCCATCTATCTATCTATCTATCTCAGTCTGTTCATTATCCATCTATTCATCTATCTATCTATCTATCTATCTATCTATCTATCTATCTATCTATCTATCTCAGGCTGTTCATTATCTATCTATCTATCTATCTATCTATCTATCTATCTATCTATCTCAGTCTGTTCATATCTCTCTCTCTCTCTCTCTCTCTCTCTCTATATATATATATATATATATATATATATATATATTGGGGGTAAACGTCTCTACTTTTTCTCGTTGCCTCCTATTTAAAGCGAGCCTGTTAGCCCTCCTCTACCAAACCTTCATCTGCACCTGTTTTCTCTAGATCTGAGGCAAATTATGCGTTTCATAGCGCAGAGAAACTCAAGGAGGAAGCAGACAATGTGCGAAAAGGAATGACACTAACTCTGCTCATTTATAGGTTAGGTTATGAATTACGGTCGGTTGCTGGTACCGGGTAACTCATTATAACCTGCCCTGTGTTAGCTGGAGATGAGACAGGCAAGACAAATAAGCACCATTTCTCTTGAATCGGCAAGAGAATTGCTATAAAGTCTAAGTTATGAAATCTTTTGACATACCGCAATTCCCCATCGCCTTCAGCCATAATACGCACCCCTAAAATTGTGCTGAAAGTGCGGGAAAATGCTCCTACCCACGGATAATACGCACTCCTTGTTTGGTAATCAAACCCTATAAATTATACCTCTCCGATTTCATTATAGCCATCGTTTCCTAGTTTTATTAAAAATTACGGTTTTAAACATAAAATAATATTATTCTAATTTAGTTTTATGATAATTCTTATTTTACAAGTATTGTTAGGTACATATGATTTCACATATTATGAAATGGACAAAGTCCGACAATTATTTAAAGACATTTTTATGTTTAACGTTCTTTTTATAGATACAAGCATTTAAGTAAATGCTCTGTTTATAATAAACAGTATTAAATAACATTTACCAGCCTGAATGTCCGACAAATTTTCGCAGAAAATATTCGTCCTTCGACAGGATTCGAACGTGTATCCTATACGGAACCGTCATATATCCTGACGTGCCTTACCGCTCGGCTACAAAGGATCGTTCGGTTGGCAAGGTCAAATTTACTGCTTGTAAACTTCAATCTTCCATGAATCTCTCACGTACATTCATAACTGCTCATGGCGTATCAAATGTAAAAGAATGTTTAACATAAAAATGTCTTAAAATAATTATCGAACTTTGTCCATTTCATAATATGTGACGTCATTTGTTTACATTTGATACGCCATGAGCAGTTATGAATGTACATGAGAGATTCATGGAAGATTGAAGTTTATAAGCAGTAAATTTGACCTTGCCAACCGAACGATCCTTTGTGGCCGAGCGGTAAGGCACGTCAGGCTATATGACGGTTCCGTATAGGATACAGATTCGAATCCTGTTGAAGGGCGAATATTTTCTATGAAAATTTTTTGGACATTCAGACCGGTATATATCATTGTATTTGACATCCTTATGGGGTTGCAATTTATGAATGTTAGTGTCAAATTGTCGTATGTTTGTGGTGAGTAGTCATTTCGCAACCGAAATCGACCTATGAAACGACAACTTTTTGAAGATATTTTTGTAGCTGTGCATAATACGCACCCCTAATTTTGCTTGTTATATTTTTTTTAGAAAAAAATGCGTATTATACAGGGTGGGATTATGGTACATATCGTCTAAGCTTAGTTTAATCTCGAACAAAACTAAAAGGAAGCGAGTATAATTGTATCGTATCAATTTTCTACTGGAGGAAGGTGTGCATAAATCAAACATTGTGGTTTTCTCAAAATATCAAGAAAATGGACGCTAGAATTAGATTCAGCTCTTCCCAAGTAGGTAGGCAGCTAGTAAGCAACGGGAAAGTCGTAAGGAAAATGGAATCAAAAAGAACACTTACGGTCGGAATCAAAAAAGAGGTAGCTGACATTTCCTGGACGCATTAATGAGGAGGGAGGGCTTGGAAAATTTGACCCTCGTCGTTATCAGCGACCAACGGCCCCCATTGCTCTAGAGAGGGCAATCGGTAGTCATAACGATGTCAGCGTAAGCGATGGTTGCGGAGGCTGGGTAATCTTTGACCCTGGCCCGAGTGTACGCGCTCGGGTTCCTCGCATTAAACCCGGACTTGTGTCACATTTCGTCTCAGCGGGGGGGGGGACTGGGGGTAAATCTACCTTCGTCGGTCATACGGAGGGCAAGAATGATAGGGAAAGTCAGCCTATCTGATTAGCTTGTGTCAGAATGTATAGCGGAACAGTGGGTGGGAGGCCTGTCGAAAGTGACAAAAATACTGCTAAAGACTACTCAGGATAGAAGGTTGTGGAGAGCCATGATCCCCCACTTGCTGAAGGGATACAGTACGTAGAAGAAGAAGATTGTGCGTGCACGTTCCAAACTCGGTTAGCATAAAAGATGGATGATAAATCACTTTCGACAAAATCAACATCAACTGATTAAAGCCTCAAGAAGTTCCCTCTACCGTTTATACTGTCAGCAGTTCGTCCGAATCGCAAAGCAGGCCACGTGGCATATTTAATCAAAATATCTCTGGCTCTGTGTGCCGACCACGTGTTATTCAGTGCGACTATTCCCCTTCTCTCCAACTGCAACTGTCATATTTCGTTAAAAATCCCGGTTGCTGAAAAATAAAAAAGTGAATAATAAAAATAAAAGAAACACTGACCAGATGGGTCGACCCGTCCGGTCAAGGGAGATGAATGTGTAACACATTTTTTTTTTTATCAGTCCTTCTGTGTTTTCTCAGCTGGCTGTACTTTTGCTTTCTGGTTTGATCCAGGTTTAGTTAGGTGCAGCGATTACACCCAGGCCCAAAATGCAAATTACAAATCAGAGATATACCAAACTACCCCCCCCGAAAAAAATAAAATAAATAAATATCTGCGCAGTGTTTTAACAGAGGACGGAAAGTGCGACACTGAAAACCAAAGGCGCATTGGAACAGTCAAAGATGCCTTCCAAAAGCTAAGCAGAATACTCAGAAACAGGAAAATTTCGTTAAAAACAAAGAAAAGCGTGCTGAAATGTTATCTGATATCTGTCCTCTTATACGACAGTGAATGCTGGACGATCCCTTCAAAGATGAAGAGACTTGAAGAAACAGAAATGTTGTTCTACAAAAAAAAAAAAAAAAAAAAGAAAAAGAAAGAAAGAAAATGCCGAGGATACCATGGAGCGAATATGTGAGCAACAAGGAAGTTCTAGAGAAAATTGAAACAAAAAAGAAATTCATACTTAACACCAGGAAGAGACAGCTTAAATTTCTAGGGCACACCATGAGGAAAGGGAGCTTGGAAAATCTGATACTCACAAGACTGAAAACAAGAGTGACAGAGGAAAACGACGTATTGACATACTTATTGATTTTGACGGAATAGATGGCGAAACAGGGTTTGGAAGAAATATCAAAAAGACATTTATTAAGAGCTACAAAGGACAGGAAGTTGTGGAGACTCATGATCACCTACGTTCTGAGGGGACACGGCGCATAAAGAAGAAGAAGAATGGTTCCTCCGAGATTAATTAAATTTAATTTACATTATCAAACCCGGGAAAATTAACAGCCATTAGAAATTGTGGGGACAAAACTTTCTCCCTTTTTCTTTTTGTAAAGAGTTTGAAGCTGTTAAAAAAATAAAAAAATAAAATAAAAACAGGAATAAAAATCAAACGAACCTTTTGTAAGTTAATTATAAAACCAGAATTGTCTGGAGAAAGATCATGTTTCCAAAACCAGAATAAATGTGCTTTCTTATTGACATGGCAGTTCCTGCAGACTGTAATGTATCTTTGAAGATCTTCAGAAAATAACTATCACAATACAAGAAGGAGGAATCTCAAAAATGTGGCCCCATACATCAATAATTCCAGTTGTGAGATTGATTAGAAAAGGTTTTTATAGGCTCATTCAAGGGACCCCTGTCAACCTGAGCTTTAAAGAAATACAAAAAAAATATTCTCGTAAACACAGCTTACAATCTACGAAGGGATTTATATATGTAAAATGTGTGAGTTATTAAATTGCGTCTTTTTAAAATCACTATCACATCTGAATGCAAATTTTATCCCAGTTACAATAACTTTTTCTTTGTAATTTGCTCCTGAAGATGATCTTAAAAAAGGTCGAAAGTACTTGGGTAAAAAAACAAAAAAAACAAACTACTGCTCATTCCGTACCTTATTTACAATATTCGGACTATTGTCCTCATCTTTGTTGTTATATTTATTATAACGTTTCGGCCTTTCAGTATCTGTCCATATTTTTCAAATGAGGTATTATGTACACTATTTACATTATTCGGACTATTGTCCTCATCTTTGTCACCATATTTATTACAACGTTTCAGCCTTTCAGTATCAGTTTATATTTTTGAGATGAGGTATTATGTACACTATTTACATTATTCGGATCATTGTCCAAATCTTTGTTGCTATATTTATTACAACGTTTCGGCCTTTCAGTGTCTGTCTATATTTCTGAGATGAGGTATTATGTACACTATTTACATTATTCGGACTATTGTCCTCATCTTTGTCGCCATATTTATTACAACGTTTCGGCCTTTCAGTATCTGTTTATACTTCTGAGATGCGGTATTATCTACATTATTTACATTATTTGGACTATTGTCCTCATCTTTGTCGCCATATGTATGACAACGTTTTGGTCGTTGTACGCTCCGGCCTTCTTCAGGTGGTTGGAATGTCGAACTGAACCCTTTATTTCACTCACTGGGGTAGACTGTCCTAGTTCCACGTGCCATGTCTAGTGGATGTCACTTATCAGTTATCTCCTGTTAATTTCCCTCTGAAAGTTTTCCACTGCCTTAGCTGGGTATTGAACTCACACTCTTTGGGTCCTGTCACTGGATCTAACTAACGCCTTTATCCACTGTGCCATGTGTTCTCAAGGAAATAAAGGGTTCAATTCGACATTCCAACCACCTGAAGAAGGCTGGAGCGTACAACAGCCGAAACATTGTAATAAGTATGGCGACAAAGATGAGGACAATAGTCCGAATAATGTAAATAGTGTACATAATACCTCATCTCAGAAATATGGACAGAGGCTCATTCCCTGATGAATTTCATCTTAACATAAAGAAACTGATTAGACAAATGTAAAGGGTCAATATAAAAATAAATAAACACACTATGACTATAATATTCATTGAAACATATGAACAAGAGGTATGCGCTTAAAAGGGATTACAGAACCATACTTTATTTACGGCGCTCTTCGTGACTGAGTCGGTTAAAAGCACGCCAGGCCTAACGACGGTTTGTCCTGCAAAGAGGAGCACAGGTTCGAATCCTGCCGCTGGTCGCATTTATTTAAAAAGATTTCACTAATCTTCAGAATTTCAAATGAAAATACATATACTGTTTAAAAAATAAACGGAGTGCCTATTCAAATATAGGAATCCACTAAAAATAACGTTTAAAAAAAATATATATATATATGGGGAGAGAGAGAGAGAGAGAGAGAGAGAGAGAGAGAGAGAGGGAGGAGGGGAGATAGAAATTAGGGATAATTATAATTAAGTAATTCATCTGATATCAAGTAGAGTGAGGGGCCGTATCATAGATTCAGAGGAGCACGAGACCCTTGCACCGGCCCTAGTTATACTCATAACGTTTCGGCCGTTGTACCCGATAACTTTCTCAGAATTTTGAACCGAACATTTCACTTAATCCACGGGGGTAAATTGTTCTAATCCCACTTTTTATTCTAAGAGCATATTTTTGTATCATTTAAAAACTCAACAATTTGTATCGCTTCTCCTTTTGTTTCGTTGAATTAGGTCGTGACTTTTCACCACTACCAGACCCAGGGATTGAACTCCCAACTGTCAGGAAACAATCCCTAAAAATCCGTAAAAATTGCTGCAAAACATTGTTGATTTATTTTAAGATGGAATGGTCAATCATGACATGTCAATAATTCGTATTTAGATACATTTTATTTATTTTCAATTTTCTAGTTAAATTGTTCCGGTATTGATTTTTAAATTAGAATCGGAGACTCAGGCTTTACTCAGACGCGAATGCTGACCCCTGATATCAATGGGAAAAGCTCAACTATCTCAGTTACCAAGCAAATGTTTTAATACTGAGATGGACTAAGTTTATTTTAGTCTCGCGCAATGTCAAATTAGAGAAACGCTATTAAAAAGATCATGTTGCGCGAATGGTTCAAACACTGACGAATAACACCATTGGAAATGATGCCACTGGCTTAACCGCCAAACAGATCCGAAGCGTTGCTATTGTTCAGCCAGCGACAGCGGACGCCTCATCACCGCCAGTAGCGGCATCTCCCGCAGAAAACATTTGGCATGAAATTGAAAAAAATCCAGGAAGTAAGCTACGAAACAATGCAAAATAAAGCCAGGAACCCCCCCAAAAAAAAAAAAAAAAAAAAAAAAAAAAAAAAACGCGAGACGACCACAACTGAGAAATTCGTTAACTCCAACGAAATCTGATGCACAGTATTACATTCTGACGTCACTTCCTCTCCAACATTTTAACGCAAGCATATGGTGTTATCAGAAAGTGTTTTTTTTATCATTTCAAAACAAGCAAGGCAATAAAGCCACTAAGACTCAAGGGGGGTTACTAAGTGTTAGAGATTATGTGAAAATAAAAGAAAAATACTATTAAGAATAGAGAATAATAAAAGAACAAGAATTAAGAAGACACGATAGTGATTGACATTAAAATTAAACGTCACACCAGCTGTACCAACGGGCCTCGGTGACGAAGAGGTAGCGAATTAGACTCGATAGAGCGCCGGTTGATCACATAATCAGACTTGTTATTTACTTGAAGCACAATAACATGAACTAAAATATTCTTTTCCTTGCGTTGCTTGATATGGATGAAGAATTCAGCTTGAAAAACTGAAAATAAATACAGTGTATCTAAGTGTTATAATAGATCATTACATCTTAAATGAATCAATATTTTGCTGCAACTTGAAAAAGTTGAATAATTTTAACATATTGAACATTATGCATAAGAAATAGTGAATTTTATAAAGTGTTTTTCGGGACTTAACACGAGCAAAACAAATTCTCGGATTTGGATGAGAAAAAAACCCCCAGAATTACGTCAAATTCTTCATCCTTTAATAGTCAGTTAGATTAATTTGTAACGTATATAAATGTAGGTAAAAAAAGCAAATGTTGATATGGTAGCGAGGGTCACAAAGCACTGCCTAAGGTTCTCAGTCAGTCTAGTAAACCCTCGATCGGGGGGTTCAGGCGTAGTACGCACCGGTCCTGACGGAATTCATGATCATAAGGAAAAAAGACAAGGAAAAAAAAAAAAAAATAGACAAAGACAAAAAAAAATAAATAAATGAGAAAACCATATAAAATATCATGAATGTTTTATTCTTTTTGTAATGGATTGAAATTACAGACTAAATCCCCTCGAAATCCAAGTTGGCGACAGTACGGTGTTTTTACGTTTCAGAACAAATCCCTGGATGTTCGTTTTCCTACAGCGGAAAAGGTTATCGTTTACACTTTGAAACGAGCAGCGTATCTACCGCCATTTTGTTTCACACAGGAAACCTTACAACGTGTGTGAGTTGACTGCTGTTTCCTCTTTCTTTATCAACCGATTGTGATCCATAGTTTGAACTCGTCTGAGACTAATATCCTTTTAAATAAGAAAAACATAATTCAGTTTTCGTTTAAAATTTGTCTTGTTTGCCTTCTGAAATTAGAGAATAAATTGGCTTCGGGTCGTCTGTTTTTATTTTACTAATGGAGACCGAAAAATTCCAAAGATTAATTCGCCTGAAATGAAATGATATGAAGTTGTAAGGTTCCCCGCCATTATGTTTGCATCTTTATTTTCTTTTTAAGGTTATTATTATTATTATCATTATTATTATTATTATTATTATTACAAAACATGCATCAGTAAAGTCACGGATATATTTCAATATCTATGAGATAATAGTCTAAAAAAATAAAAAAAGAAGAAATAAATTAAATAACATTACCTGTATTTACATTTTAGTATAATTCAATGTCTAGCGGATTTAAAATAATAAACATTATAGCATTATCTATCTATCTATCTATCTATCTATCTATCTATCTATCTATCTATCTATCTATCTCAGTCTGTTCCTACCTCTGTCTCTTTCTCACTCTCTCTATCTATCGCAGTATTTTGCTATCTATCTATCTATCTATCTATCTATCTATCTATCTATCTATCTCAATCTGTTCCCACATCTGTCTCTTTCTTACTCTCTCTCTCTCTCTCTATCTATCTATCTGTCTACGATATAGTCTTTGGACGCATTTGTTTGAATAGCGATTTCTTCTTTTTTTTTTTTTTAAAATCTTAGTACAATTTAATATCTGCAAAACTCAAAGTCGAAAAGATAAGTATTTCGAACTTTTCTTTATCTATTATTATTTGACGATTGTTGCTCTAGCCTTTAATACTGAATACTTTGTTGACAAATATCTGCTTGATTTTAAATACGTTAACATCCAGTAATTTACCGGTTTTGTTAAGCCTTAGCGTCCTTTGTCATATATACATACACACACACACACACACACACATATATATATATATATATATATATATATATATATATGTATATGTATGTGTATCTATGTATGTATAGCAGATTCCCCCTCCCACCACCATCATAGTTAATTAAGAAGACAGAAGATAACTTTTAAAGACCAAAGTTGACTGGGAAGCGAGTGGTCGGACGAGAGTTACCCAAAGGAAAAGTGCGAGGGAAGACAGTGTCAGCATAAATCTTATTGTTACATCTAGCCGTAAAATGATGAGACCTCGCCGCCAATCTAGTACTGCGATCAAATTCCTAAAAGATAGGTACCAAATAGGAAAGCTCGGGACAATTACGATGGAAATATTTATAGAAAAGGCAAAAGCAAGCTGCGTTACTTCGATGGGAATGTGACCGGAGCCGAGATGCCAGGTCAAGAACAATAACATGGCAGATTCTTCCTCGTATTTTATCAATAATCTATAAATTCATGGGAGAAGCACTAGACCAGATGTGACAAAAATATTCAAAACAAGGCCGTGTGGTAGACCTATAAATGTTGAGAAAAACAATATGACAAATTAGAAAAAAAATTTCTTGTGACGCGTTTTATTGTTTAGGACAATGATGGTAAATTTGAACAATTTGTCATACATATTGTTCTTGTAGAAACAGATCCAAGAGCACATAGGGGTCACTAAAACATTAAAAGATAAAATGCCGATAACTACTCGCTGGACCAACCTTAATTGTTTTATGACCCTTCGCGCAGAACTCTTCATTGACAATTCTAGAAAGAAATTCGGATTACCAACACACAAACAGAGAATGTCTCATATCGAGAATATCTCACATTGAACATGAAGAAAAATTAATTATTTTTAATAATATGTAGAAATATCCACTTTTACCTGAAGACGGTCGCGAGACCAGAAACACGTGTCGTAGTAAAATTATGTAAAACAAAGCATAATATTTTTTCTAAATAAATCCACATTACAACCAAAAACGTTTGCGGCACCTCTCTTCTTTTTAATATATATATATATATATATATACATACATGTATTATAAAATATTATATAATATATATATATATATATATATATATATATATATATATAGACTACATTGAATGTATATTATAAAATATTATATAAAAATATATATCTTAATCTCACTTAAAAATCTGTAAGATAAACATATACAGGATGCGATGAATAAATTGTCGTCTAATGGGCGCAAAAATGAAAATAACATTGACATTTCATTTTAACAGATATATTAACCAAAATGGCACAAAAATATCTGGAAACACTAAAGAGTAAATTCATACAAGAAAATCACCATTAGTTTCAACTACGGCCTCCAGACATCTTCAGAATCTCCTGGATCTCTTCTGAATGGTGTCCTTGTTTAAATTGATGAATGCTGTCATAATCCTTGCCTTCAGTTTATCTTTGGTGTTAGGAGTTTTGCTGTTCCCAATATATAATAATCAAGGGGGTTGCAGTCTGGGGAGTAAGGTAGGTAGATGTGAGGGGTGATGTGGTCGAAGAAATTGTTTGACAGCCATGACTAAGTTTGTATGGCATGGTGTAGAGTCCTGTTGCCAAACGTATGGTCTTCCAGCAGCCAGCCTCATGACCCAAGGCAGCGCTACATCTTAAGGCACTTGATGTCGGCTTTTGTGTTGAGCTTAGGGCTCTCACCAACAAATTAGGGAGTTCTTTTCTTATCAGAAAGATCAGAGTTAATTTTGCGAGCTGCGTACCTTGGTAATCACCGTTAGACTCATTCAAATCTTTCCGTATCCCCTGCACTGTCCTTAGATTGACATCTAAACACTCTGACATGTTCGTATTGGAGCCTCCAGCGCGAATGTCAAGCAGTGCAGCATTCCGTTTCAAAATTTCTGGCGAAGTGAATTGCATCTTGGTGTTCTTTTTATCACGGACGGTGTCAACTGCTAATAATATACTGTGCAGTCGACAAAATCAAAAGCTAACAATGCGCAGGCGCGAAATTTTTTTTTTTTTTTTAAATGGCGACAATTTACCCATCGCACCCTGTATAAGGTGTTTTGGGGCGGCAGTTTTTTATTTACACAAATTTGTTTAAAAACTAACAAAGGCTCTTTGTTAAGTATTTCTTGACTTCTATGTTTAAAAAAATTTTTCTGTTTTTTTTTTTTGCTACATATTTAAATATAGATTAGCCAACAGCTGAGGACTTTCGGCTTTCAAACCATTATCAAAGAGTTTTCGCTTTTTGTGTTATGTCGTTTTTGAAATATCGCGTCGTCGCGTAACATGTCGGTATTTTTAAAGTATCACGCCTTCACGTGACAGTTCGTGTTGTTTTGTTTTAAATTGGATGGAACGATAAGGCTAGAACTGTTGACAGGAAACCACAGGAATGGAAAGAATATGTCCTTTATTCTTTCTTTTAAAGGAGTAGTTGAGAGAGATCCGTTATTTTTAAAATAGGAAAATATTTTTAAAATACGGAGGCGAATCGTAAAATGATTCTTGGATTAAAGTCTTTAACATGAATGAATGTGGTTTTGTACTTTTCGTACCGTCTCCGCTATCCTCTTTGGCTTAGATTACTCAAAGGACGTTCCATTTCCTTTTCTATGTTACGCTTAATTAGGCCTCTTACTGATTAGAAGCCGCCACGAGAAGTCATTTCTATCCTTATCGTTTCAGACATTTCATTAGTCTGTAACACTTGTCTCCAAGGGCATGTTCCCAGATGCAAGTAACGTCCACACGACTTACTCTTCATGAACGAGAAAGTGTTTACATTTTGTGTTAAAGAGAGAGAGAGATAGAGAGAGAGAAAGAGAGAGAGAGAGAGAGAGTTAAAGGAAGATTTGTTATATTTAAAATACGAAACAATATCCATCGCACTCTCTCTCTCTCTCTCTCTCTATATATATATATATATATATATATATATATATATGTGTGTGTGTATATATATATATGTTTTGAACAATGAAAAATATTAAAAAATTAAAATCTTCAGACTCTCTGGGTTGTATATTAATATTTTTCGTTTTTAGTGTTCAGTTAAATTGCTCGACTAGTTTCGGCCAACATGGCCATCATCAAAGGAAAAAAAAATTCTGTTTGTTAGTAGCAGTGAACTACAGAAATGAATGACATGATGGAGAAAATGAACTTTATCTGTAGTTTTCATTTGTTTTTTTTTAATTTTTTAACATGAATTTTGGTCAGTCATTGTGTTGGTCAAACAGTCTCTTAAGTTGTTATTTAAGATAAGAGCTGGATGGATTCATGCTACTCTGAATTCCCTTAGTCATTTTGACAGTTTTATTGGTTCCTAGAAAGGAGATGTGTCTCTGTTAAGTGTGTCTGTGTTATTGGGTTCTTAGGGAGTGAGTGAGTATGATGTGTGTAAGTGTGTATATTAATATAGGTGTGAGTATAAAAGTAAGGCCTGAACACCTCTGCAAGTATGTATGTTCTTGTGTGGGTGGAAAATGTGGGTAGGTCCTGTTTGTGGGGTTATATATTAATACTATCTATGTTGTTAAATTTGTGATTAAGCCCGGCTGGATGAAGCATTTTCAGGCGTCGAATCCATTTATTTTCATGTCCTTCTAAAATCTTTCTAATGTTATCTGCTCTGAATTTTTCTATTTTCTCAATTATAGTGAATTTGGCATGGGTTTTAAAATATTTCTAGGCGGAAATGTTGTTCAACAGGCGGAAATGTTGTTCAATAATCTTTTCATGGGGAGCCGATATATATATATATATATATATATATATATATATATATATATATATATATGAATAAAGATAAAGGACAAACTTAACCGACGCATTTATTCCTCTGATGGACTTTATGAAGGCAAATATATGCCATCTCCTTTCAGGACGTAGGCAATCATGGCTTCCCACCTCCCTCTATTCTTTACAGCTTTCATATGAACCTACTAGAGACTCACCTACAATTCCAGCCCACGCATTAATCGTAAAATGATGCTGGTGTCTAACTTGCATTGTAGTATGGCGATCCCGATCCGCTCACAAATGTTGGTTGTGTAAATTTGTTATTGCATCTTTTCCAGTTGTTACCACATCCGTAAGAGAGAGAGAGAGGGGGGGGGAGAAAGAGAGGAGAGAGAGAGGAGAGAGAGGAGAGAGGGGGAGAGAAAGAGAGGAGAGGGGGGAGAAAGAGAGAGGAGAGAGAGGGGGGAGAGGAAAGAGTGATGGAGAGAGGGGAGAGAAACAGTGAGAGAGAGGGGGAGAGACAGAGATAGTGAGAGAGAGAGGGGGGAGAGAGAGATGGAGAGAGAGAGGGGAGAGAAAGAGAGAGAGAGAGGGGGAGAGAGAGAGAGAGAGAGAGGGAGAGAGACAGAGAGAGTGAGAGAGAGAGGGGGAAAGAAAAAAGAGAGAGAGAGTGAGACAGAGAGAGGGGAGAGAGGGAAAGAGAGTGAGATAGCTGTTCTTTTTAAAACATGAAACAATACTGCGACGAATAACCTTTGGATTACAAGCTTAGACGAATGCGACTATGTCCCTATTTATCTATCCTTTCTAGGATCGTCTGCTCCCTTCCAAAACAATGGCGTTTCTATTTCTTTCTCCTGCCACACTTAATTAGGCCTCCCATCGATTAGGAGCCACGACGAGAAGACAGGCTTATCGTTCAATCTGATGCTTTATCTTATAACACTTGTCTCCAAACCATATCCCAGAGGTCACAATTTTCAAGCCTGCAGCCAGGCCTATGTTCCTAGTCCCGGATACAGGCGTTTCGAATTTTAATATAACCTCAGCAACATATGTCGTCTCTGATACACACAATAGCCCATCGGCTACGGCCTTTTCTCGTAAATCTGATATGGCCGATCGCACAGCTTTGCCAAAAGCACGACCCCACCCCGTATTTCTGCTTGTTCTGCGAGTCGGAAGAATATCGTTGATTCCGGTAATCTTTGCAAACGTCCAAATAGATCGGATCTTACACGCCCGGCCTACGGACGGCGTGAGGAACTATTTATACGGCACGCTAATACGTCACTAATAAGTTTTGTCTGCTTAATTTAGCCGCCTGTAAACACTCCCACATTTAACGGGCACCCAAGGGCGAACAGACATTGACGGACGTGCGCACTCACGTGCTTTCATTTAAATATCATTTTCATAAGATTACACATGTTATTATTTTAGGCACACACACACGCACACACAGATGCATTCTCGGATATATAGATATACCTAACCATACAATAATAATAAAACATACTTTTAAGTAAGCACACAATTGCGTATATATCACCCACATATATGTAAGAAATGAATATATATATATATATATATATATATATATATATATATATATATATATTGTAATAAATAGCATATTGTAAAGAATTATTCATTTTTCTAAAACGTAATGATACACGCACACATATATTAATATATTTTCTGTTTATACGTTATTTTTATAGATTCAAATATTTAAGTAAATGCTCTGTTTATAATAGACAGTATTAACAACATTTAACGGCCTGAATATCCGAGAAATTTCGTATAAAATATGGGCCCTCCGACAGGAATAGAACCTGTATCCTTCACGGAACCGTCGTATAGCCTGATACTATACCATTTAGCTACAGTAAACAAAAACGAAGAGATAAAAAAACGGATTAATAGTTTGTGCAATAAACAATCATTTAAAGTTCTTCCGTGGGGCATCCATCCGTTCTTCAGCGGGCGAGGAATCTGCAAATGACAGGGATACAGGAGCTTCTCTTGAAGTAACCTCCATGATATAACCTATTATGAGATGTACGATATGCTAGGACCATTTGACGTGTGCTGACAATTGAATCGTTTCCGACTGCCTGTACAATGTGTCCTTCGTGGTCAGGCGTGCGAGTGTACCTCGACCTTCCTCGATCAATTATTTGTGGTACCGCGGATCCTGTCTCAGAAATGCGACGATAAACAGCAGCAAAGGTTGGATGACACGGCTGCCTTCGGCCTGGGAACGCAACCGTATACAGCCGTGCAGCCTCCCGTCCATTACCATTCGCGCGTCCGTATGTAAACATCATAACTGCCTGATCACGATATTAATATCCTGCCATTGTTAAACGGAACACTTAATTCACTACTACACATGTTAAACACTGAAAACAGACTAGCCACAAATGACAAGACAGCGCCATCTATCTTAAACTCTCTTTAAACTTAATAACTCAAAAACAAAGGAGATATTTTTATATGAACTTTGGTACTTGTTTTGGTGTGAGGAACAAGCCCCCAAAGTTTGTAAATATTTTCGATACGATCTATCTATCTATCTATCTATCTATCTATCTATCTATCTATCTACTCGACTCGACTCTCCCGTCGAATCCGACGTATGAGGGTCAAGCAGATCAGTTCCAAGGAAACTGACAGCCCGACAACAGCACATGAGATTTGATTATAGTGGTGAGGGCTTTGTGCAGAACCACCCACACTTTTTGAAGGGCCGAATACAGAGACCTGGTGCACTACGTGCTACAGGGTCCCCAAACGAATAAAAATTACAATAGGAAAACTAGTAATTGCTGACGCGTTTCGTCCAATGTGGACTTTATCAAAGCAGAATACGAAATACGATAAAGTGCACATTGGACGAAACGCGTCCACAATTACTAGTTTTCCTATTGTCATTTTTATTCATAAATATTGTCTTCTCTACTGGTTAAATCGGAGAAATTTTCATATATATATATATATATATATATATATATATATATAAGTATATAATTGGTATATACGGAATGAATTCCAATAACCAACAATTACTATTCTTAAAAGAGTGCTCAATACAAAGTAGAGTTAGATATAATTTTTTTTAAAAAAAAATTATAACATAAGTATAAAGAGAACCACACAAAAATAGCCATTTTGTTTCAACACACTTTGTGTCTTATTGTGATGATGTTGAAAAGAAAATGTACATTTTCTTTTCAACATCATCACTTGACAAAATGGCTATTTTTGTGGTGATTTTATAACATATTTATGTTATAATTTTTTTTATAAAAAAATATATTATATATATATATATATATATATATATATATATATATATATATACTGGGTGCAATGGATAAATTGTCGTTTAAATGAGGCAAAATGAAAATTACACTGACATCTCATCTTAACGGATATATTTCCTAAAATTACGTAAAATATTTTGAAGCACGCAAGATTAAATTTATTGAATAAATTGGCCATTGGCTTTAACCATGGCCTCCAGACGACTTTGGAGGGCTTCTACCTCTCGTCTGGTCGGTCTGCTTGCCTTCAGTTCGTCTTTATGTTACAAGGAGTTTTGTTGGCCTCTCGCTCAACTGCGCCCCATACATAATAATCAATGGAATTGCAGTTTGGGGAATTAGGTGGCCAGATTTTAGTGGTGATGTTGTCGCAGAAACTTTCTGACAGTCATGACTGGGTTCTCCTCCTTGCGCGGCAGGGTGCATAGTCCAGTTGCCGGACATAGGCTTTTCCAGCAGCCACCCTCTTGGCCCAGGGCAGCACTATATCCTCAATGCACTTGATATAGGCCTCCGTGTTGGGTCTATCTATCTATTATGTTGGGTACAATAAGAACACATGTATAATGACAGAGCTAAAATTATTTTCCCCATGAATAAAATGACTGCTCGACTATATTAAAGGAAGGTCATGTATATCAATATTTAAATTTTACAACGGTCAGTTTTCAGTCTTGCATCGAAGGATATATATATATATATATATATATATATATATATATATATATATATATATATATATATGTATGTATATATATGTATGTATGTATATATATATATATATGTATGTATGTATATATATGTATATCTATATGTAAATATATATGTATGTATGTATATATATGTATGTATGTATATATATATATGTATGTATATATATATATGTATTTATATATATATATGTATGTATGTGTGTATATATATATATATATATATATATATATTTATATATAGTTTTAAGGTGTGTTGTATTTATGGTATAAAGTGCTCAATATCAGAGATAGAGTGTGTGTAAATATAAATATAAAAGTGAACATTGAAGTCAACACTCAGAGGCGACAGACTGTTTCATACTGACGCAATCGTCAGGCCTGATATATATATATATATATATATATATATATATATATATATATATATATATATAACATGGAAAACATACATAACATGGAAACATATCTATCTATCTGTCTATCTATCTATCTATCTATATATGGTAATTTTATATTTATTAATCAGATATTTTCATCACTTCTATTTTTTGTGGATACTCATATTTGACTAGACTCCACGTTTATGTTTTTAATCTGTCTATTTATTTTCGTCTACCGGCCTAAATATTGTGAAATTTTATTAAAGAAAGAAATCTGGTCAGGATTCGAAACTGCGTCTCCCTTTGCTGAACCGAGAGGTATGTGCTTAAATGGTATAACAGAACCACACTTTATCGATGACTTTGTCGGTTAAAAGCACGTCAAGTCTAACGACGGCTTGGCTTGCAAAGGGAAACACAGGTTCGAATCATGCCGTTGGACGCATTTCTTTAAGATTTCCCGAATATTCAGAATGCTAAATGAAAATACATATATTGTTTTAAAAAATAAATGGAGTGTCTACTCAAATATGGGAGTCCACTAAAAATAACATTAAAATGCTATATATATATTTTAAATTTACTTATTTAAAAATATAGTTTCATCGCTACACAGGAATTACCATGTTTCAAAAACAGAAGCCAAAAACTTCAAATTCAATTATAGAATTAAATTAATTTAAAGTCACTAGTTCTGTTTCATTTTCAAACGAATTTTGGAATAAATTATTTTGAAATTTACTCAGTGTTATAAGCACATATATTCATAATATTACTATCTATGGTTATGGGGAAATCCAATCCTTTTAACAAGGGGCCGTAGGGTATTCTTTTTCACTGACAACTATTGTATAAAAAATTATGAGTTACTTTCGAAAAGAGGTTAAGTAATATTTATGCTCTGTACATTGAGCATTGAGCACTGTGTTGTTAAAATAAAAATATTAATAACAACACCGGATTATATATCTTACTGTTCTTTCTCTTTATTACACACACACACACACACACACACACACACACACACACACACACACACACACACACACACACACACACTCATACACACATATATATATATATATATATATATATGTTTATATAAGTTTCTCCAAGCCGTTTGACAAGGTACTGCGATTAAGCTTTTTATTTAATTTTTCTTGTGTTCGTTGAAATGTTTTGTGTTTGGGACATAAAGTGTGTAAAAAACACTTAACGATATCAACGATGAACACGGCGACAACGTGCTGACCGTGTTCGGAAAAATTTCTCATCACTCTAGATACATATATAAAAAATAAGAATATTTTGTTGATTAGGGTTAGTATAAGTACAATTTAAGCTAACTTTATTTGTTATTTATGGTTAGACGTTGGCATATTGCAGAATTGTCTCCCCTTATTTAATTGCAATGTATAAATTCTTCAGCGAACATACAGCGAATTTTATATACTCTATTAACTTTCTTGTTTTTGTGTCCCTTCAGAACTTACTTGATGATGGCTCGCCACAATTTCCTGCCTTTTGTTGTTCTAAGTATTTTAGTGACTCATTACGATCATTCTTTTCCCTGTTCTACAACCAATTCGTACAAATCCGTTAAGTAGGTTAATCCTCCCCCCCCGTTTCCCTTCTGTACAACTTCCACTATGTCTTCTCTTTGCAAGAGTCAGATTAAACCAACAATGGAGTATTATTGGCTATGCATATATGGGCTGAAAATTCTCTGTGATCACTTTCTGACCTTGATAGGGTTCAAAATCGTTTACGCGGTAGCCCTTCCCCCATAGACGGCAACTTTTTAAGACCTACTGCTACCCTAACGATATGCCAGGGCAAATGTTCAGATGAACTCCATTTTTTTCTGGCATTTTCACGTAGTTAAATCACTCTCCTTTCCCCTCACCTTCGGGTTCTAAATGTAAGGAGAAAGATCCACTCACACAACTTTTCCCCAAGAACAGACTCTTACATACGTGCTTCTCTAAACTCTCCAGGTTTGACATATTCAAGTCATTAACTATCCACTTTTGCCTCAGAATCTTAACTTCTTGCCACTTTCTCTTTCATTCATATCAAACACGCTATTCATCACTATTTATCATAGATTGCTACGTACAAGTCGAGTTTTCAAGCCAACAAAAATCTTTCCAAATCTAGCGGTTCACTTCTATGGCAGGTATAAAATGAAAACCTTTACCACCGAATTGTAGACAAGTGGGGCAGCACATTTTACTGTACACAACTAAACCAGCAGGCTACCATAAATATATCCCACTAAAGCTTGTATTTGCTGAACATATTTGGCATATTAGCAGAGAATTTAATGTAAAATAATAAAATAGTAACACAAATTCAGTATTTTATTAACGCTACAACAAGGCAAATTTTGGGCTAGAATTGAGTGAAGTTTGCATTAGATTGCTCGAAAATTGAGGGAGATTTTAGTTTAAAATTTGTGTTGAAATCGATTTGTGTTGAAACCGATTTTTCGTTTTTCCCGGTTTTTTTCGCTAAACGCAGTGGCATAGAAATAAAAATGAGTCATCATTGTGCTCGTCATGGTGTAAGCAACCAACATACTGAGATTGAACGAAATCGGAGGAAAAAAGTTGAATGATCGGCTTTATCGTTTATTGATTTTTAAAAAGAATTATCGATTTTTTTAACGCTAAGAACCTTTCTCTTACATGGTACAATGTATGTGCCAAGTTTGGTCAAAATTGGTTCGATGGATCTCAAGTGAAACGGTATCATACAGACAGATATCCTTTGATATATATATATATATATATATATATATATATATATATATATATATATATATATATATATATATATATATATATATATATATTGCAATTTAACAACATCTTTTCTACTCTTTTTCAACCTTATCACAATATTTAGGCTGTTGTAATACTTTTGGGCTTCTTTAGTCGACTTTTGCATTGGTAATGTCGAAGTGGAATGTCGAAGGGAATCCTTTATTTAATCAACGAGAGTACGCTGTTCACATTCTTTTACTTCTGACATCCGGTGTACTTCCGAGGGAATTTCTGACTTAACAAACATTGATTCTCCCGTATGTTACCACACTATCTCCCGCCACTAAGCTCTTATATACTTCACTACAAGTATTTCCTTTCTAAGTATTAAAGCAATAAAGATGAGAAGACTGGTCCGATAGGATGAACATTTAACAATAACAATGCCTCACCTCACAAAAGAAGCCAGATAACCATCTGTGTACCACGTCCCCTTAGGATGCTAGCGGCAATCGCTACACACATTCCTATCTTTTATAACTCATAGTGACCGGTTCACACTCCTCCCTAATTTCTTAAACAAGAGCAGAGGTTTATCCCTTGTTTCCTGTTTAGGATTGGGTTTCCGGTTCCTTCTAAAGCCTATTTCAACTCTATACTTCTAACATCTCTGCCTAAACTCTGAAATTTTATTTACTATTTATTTTTCATCAATTGGAGTAAATACGTTCACCTATGTTCGCTTCACAATCCTCACCGGTCATTTGAACAGGAGTAGAGGTTTATCCCTTGTTTCCTGTCTAGGATTGAATTTAAGGTTTCTTCTTAAATTATTTTCTTCTCTTTCACTTCTGGTCGCTCCCTTGCGTCTTAGTGGCGCTATTGCCTTGCTTTGGGTGAATGGATTAAAAAAAAAATATTTGTTTTTTTACTATCACTCCCAGTCCTTGTTCTACCATACATTTCCACAATCTATTTATCTAGGTTATTCACTGTTTCCTTTCCGTTCATGATATTCTCAGCATCCTTCTGTAGAGCCATATCTGTACCGCTTCGACTGTTCTCTTCAGTGAGGAGATTGTCCAGCATTCACTGCTATATAGGAGAATACATAACACATAGCAGTTTAGCACTCTGTTCTTTGTTTTTAACGAGATTTTTTGTTTCTTAATACTTTTTTTTACAATAAAGTTCACTTTGTACAAGGCCCAAGAGCCACCCGAGGTAGAGGTTTACACAGTAAGAGGCACAGTTTATGCGGATATGTGGGGAAGATAAAGTTTAATCCTAGACTTGAACAGATTAAGCTTTTAGTGATCGGGGAAGCATCCTCTTGGGAGTCTGTTCCAAAAAGCAACGGTTCATAGGAAGAAGCTGATCGAGTGGCACGTACATTTCATTTGATTTTAGGGCCATCCTAGATTGGGGATTTGGGGATTAAGTCCACCTCCCCTACATTTTAAAAAAAAATAGAATTGAGGTTTTGCTTCTTTAAAAAGAAATAACCATCTAAAACTTTATTTATTTATTTATTAAAATTATTATTTTTTTTATTAAAATTATTATTATTATTTTTTAAAATATTAAAATAATAATTTGAAAAAAGGATACAGAACATTGACTGAGATAAAGATTAAGTATTGTAATTAAATAAATACTTATTAAAAAAAAAAAATTCAAAATATCAAAGCGGGGGGGGGGGTTTGCCCCCTGAACTCCTATCCAGAAAGTTCGGATCTGGAATTGTTGCAGTGGGGTATTATCTGAACTCGAACCCATGATTTTTTAGTTAATACTTATTTAAACGTATTGGGGTGGCTAGCCCCCCTCCAGAAAGTACGGTTGTTGTAGTGGGGTTTTGTCAGGACCCCACGATTTTCAGTTATCTAAAAATGTAGGGGAGCAGGGCTTAGCTCCCAAATCCTCACCCCAGAACGGCCTGAAAATCAATTTTTTATCGACTTTTATTTCATAGTTACCGAATTTTCTACGTTGTCAAAATTACCGAAATTTTACATTACCGAATTTTCCTTTACCGAACTTTTCTAATTTCCGAGGAATCTTTATATATCTTGGTCTGTTCATTATCTATCTAGCTATCTGGGTCTGTTTCTATCTATCTATCTATCTATCTATCTATCTATCCTTCCTTATCTATCTATCTATCTATCCATCCATCTATCTATCTATCTATCTATCTATCTATCTCACACACACTCTTCGTTATCTATCTATCTATCCATCACTCTTCCTTATCTATCCTATCTATCTATCCATCTATCCATCTATCCATCTATCTATCTATCTATCACATCTTCATCCATCCATCCTATCTATCACACCTTCCTTATCTATCTATCCATCTATCCATCCATCATCACACCTTCGTTATCTATCTATCTATCCATCCATCTATCCATCCATCCTTCCTTATCTATCTATCTATCTATCTATCTATCTATCTATCTGGGTCTGTTTCTTTCTATCTATCTATCTATCTATTTATCTATCCATCTATCATCTATCTATCACACACTCTTCCTTATCCATCCATCTATCCATCCATCTCATCCATCCATCTATCTATATATCCATCACATCTTCGTTCATCCATCCATTGTATCTATCACACCTTCCCCATCCATCTATCTATCTATCTATCCATCCATCTATCCATCCATCCATCTATCACACATCCTTCATCCATCCATCTATCCATCCATCCATCCATCCATCCATCACACCTCCCCATCCATCCATCCATCCATCCATCTATCTATCTATCCGGGTCTGTTTTCTTTCATCCATCTATCATCCATCCATCCATCCATCCATCTATCCATCCATCCATCACACACCTTCCATCCATCTATCTATCTATCTATCTATCCATCCATCCATCTATCACACATCTTATTATCATCCATCCATTCATCACCTTCTTCATCTATCTATCCATCCATCCATCCATCCATCTATCTATCTATCTATCACACACCTTCTTTATTATCCATCTATCTATCCATCCATCCATCTATCTATCCATCTATCACACTCTTCCCCATCTATCTATCCATCCATCTATCTATCCATCTATCCATCTATCTATCTATCTGGGCATGTTTTTTCATTCATTCATATCTATCCATCCATCCATCTATCCATCCATCCATCCATCTATCTATCTGTTTTCTATCCATCTATCCATCCATCCATCCATCTATCCATCCATCCATCCATCTGGGTCTGTTATCCACCTATCTATATCCGGTTTGTTTCATCCATCCATCTATCTATCTATCCATCTATCTATCTATCTATCTATCACACACACCTCCTTATTCATCTATCCATCCATCTATCATATCCATCTATCCATCCATCTATCCATCTATCATCACACACCTTCGTTATCTATTCATCATATCATCTATCCATCTATCTATCTATCTATCTATCTATCTATCTATCTGGGTCTGTTTCTATCTATGTCGGTTTGTTTCTTTCTTTTCATTCATCTATCCATTCATCATCCATCTATCCATCTATCTATCTATCTGGGTCTGTTTCTATCTATCTATCTATCTATCTATCTATCTATCTATCTATCTGGGTCTGTTTCACTCATCTATGTCGGTTTGTTTCTATCTATCTATCTATCTATCTATCTATCTATCTATCTATCTATCTATCACACACTCTTCCTTATCTATCTATCTATCTATCTATCTATCTATCTATCTATCATCTATCTATCACACACTCTTCGTTATCTATCTATCTATCTATCTATCTATCTATCTATCTATCTATCTATCTATCTATCTATCTGGGTCTGTTTCTACCTATCTATGTCGGTTTGTTTCTTTCTTTCTATCTATCTATCTATCTATCTATCTATCTATCTATCTATCTATCTATCTATCTATCTGGGTCTGTTTCTATCTATCTATCTATCTATCTATCTATCTATCTATCTATCTATCTATCTATCTGGGTCTGTTTCTATCTATCTATGTCGGTTTGTTTCTATCTATCTATCTATCTATCTATCTATCTATCTATCTATCTATCTATCTATCTGGGTCTGTTTCTACCTATCTATGTCGGTCTTTTTCTATCTATCTATCTATCTATCTATCTATCTATCTATCTATTCTGGAGAGATGCGGGGAACTGAGAATTTTCCCCGTATCTTTACTGACAGATCGTCTGTACGAGTTCCACTTGAAGGTCCCAGGTTTAGTTTAAGACCCAGTTTTGTTTACATTTATAATCGAGGAAACTGTAATCAAATCTCAAAAATCCAAATGGAATGAAGGCCGGAGGGTACACCGGCTGAAAAGTTGTGATAAAAAAAAACAGCAAAGAAAAGAAGCTTGTCTAAATGATTCAATGGATAACAATTCATGACGTTTTACACAAAATGACATTGGTTAGAATATTATCAAGTGAATCAGAGCGACGACTTGATGGAAACTAAATGTTCTGAGAATGATTAGAAGAGGAAAGATGATGTGGACATTGAAAACGGAAAGGAAGGGGTTACTGGACGATGATGTTGTGAGTAGAGATTGGAGGAGGTTGGAGCGGGGAAAAGAAGGCCAAGACCCCGGGGTAGGTATATCCTTTTGCCTGCAAAGTCGAACGGTTTAGTTAGCTGGAATGGTGTTAAAAGCGGCAAGATTTGTGTTTGGCGTCAGGGTGGAGTGGATTTGACAGGATTCGAGAAGCAGAAGTAACCAAGTAGAAAGAGCCGGGATTGTGGTTAGTGGAGTTGCCTCAAGAAAAAGTACTTCTGACAAAAATGTATAGGCATGTACGTACTATATATAGGAAGGAAAAGCATCTATCTATCTATCTATCTATCTATCTGTTCTTTATATATCTTGGTCTCTTCATTATCTATCTATCTATCTATCTATTTATTTATGTCGGTCTGTTTCAATCTATCTATCTATCTATCTATCTATCTATCTATCTATCTATCTATCTATATTCTTTATATATCTTGGTCTCTTCATTATCTATCTATCTATCTATCTATCTATCTATCTATCTGTTCTTTATATATCTTGGTCTCTTCATTATCTATCTATCTATCTATCTATCTATCTATCTATTTCTGTTAGTTCATGATCTATGTATCTCGGTCTGTTCATAATCTATCTATCTATATATCTATCTATCTATGTCTGTTTTTATCTATCTATCTATCTATCTATCTATCTATCTATCTATCTATCTATCTATCTATCTATCTATCTATCTCTTTCTGTTAATGTTTCACTATATGATTGAAATTATCAGTACAAAAAGTGGATGGAAAAATGCCACAGCGAAATCCCCCCCACACATTGGATTTGCGAATGATTCATTTCAAAAGTTGAGCAAGAAACAGGAATATATTGGTAGAAAGAAAGAAAAGAGTGTTGAATTGTTATGCGATATCAGTCCACGTGTATCTCAATGACTACTGGATAATCTCTTTGCAATTTAATAGAAAACTGGAGGCAACAAAAATGTGGTTCTACGGAAGGATACTGAGAATTCCCTGAACAGAGAAAGTAAGCCATGAGGAAGTTTAAAAAAAATGGTAACATAAAGAACACTTATACCCAGAATTAGAAAGAAACTGCTGAAATTTATTTGGCACAAAATGAGGAAGGTGTGCTTGGAGAATTTGACACGCACAGGGCATATTGATGACAGAGAAGATAAAGAAAAGCAACGGGTAACGTACCTGATGAGCTTGTGATAATGGCTGATAGAACTGGAGGCTTAACAAAGAGGCAAGCGTTGCTAAGAGCTACATGGGATAGGATGTTGTGGAGAGCCTTGATTGCACAGCTTCTGAAGAAACACCGCGTATAGAAAAAGGATTGGCAATACATTTCTTTCTGATTTTTTTTATGCATTTCTATAGTAAAATACATTTATAATATATACTTATATATATATATATATATATATATATATATATATATATATAGGAGAGATATCGCTTTTCCTCAGAGGTTAAGGTTGTAATGGTCAAGGCAGCATCCTCTCGAAAAAGAAACAGTGTTAGAAAAGAAGCTGTTTGAGTGGAAGATACCAAAAGTATAAAAAAGATACGAGGGTGATTTGATCCTGTGTACGTGGCATGGCAGGTACTAGTTGTGAAGGTCTGAACTGGTGGAACAAAGGAATGTAGAACGTTTGAACATTTGCTATAGTAATAGCAACAGAGTAGGCTAGCGACGTTTCGTTTGTGGGAAACGGGTGGTAGGATGGAAAATAGTTCATCAACCGCAAGGCCGCGTAGTAGCTTTTGAACTCTGTTAGTGCTGGTCTGATCTAATAGATAAAGCATGGCAGCAGGAGTCTGGTATTTTGAGGTGCGGCCATTCTTTCAGTATCTTTTTGAAATGGCGCGAAGATACGGGTTCTGTTTGTTGTAGGGAAAATATCTATATATTTGTCTTAAACGGCACTCGTCGACATATGAGGCCAGGTAAAAATGGTATTTTAAAGAAAACATTAAAAACCAGCAGGTTCATTTGAAAACCTGCTGCAACACACTCTTTATATCACCTAAAGGGATTAGTACATTTGCATGCTTGCAAAATCAACAAGACGATTGTCATATAGGTATAGAATTAGACAGCTTGTCTTTGATCTGGTATTTTCTTTCTTTCTTTCTTTCTTTCTTTCTTTCTTTTCTTTTTTCTCTCTCTCTGTGTCTGTTTAATAACGTCATTAACTCATTTTGACACTCCTATCTCTGTCTCGCTAAGCAATCTGTGTTGGCTGGATAATCTCTCCTCTTTTTTTTCTTTCCATTTTTTTTTCAATGTCTTTCTCTCTCGTCTGCCAATTATATTTGATGGTGTTGCTTTTTCAGTTCATCGTTGCTTACAGTCCGACCGGTTGTCTTCCAGCACCCACACCCAAACACATACTCCCCCCTTAATTCTCTCTCTCTCTCCCCCTCTCTCTCTTTTTGTACGAAAAGCTCCCCCACCTTTTTTTAGACCTTAACCAGTTTGCTTTACTTCAGATAAGACAAATCATGGCCAGAATGACTTGCAGCAGGCAAGGTGAGATGAATATTTGAGTATGGCACTCACCCTGATTCTGAAAATAGCACGGTTCATGACGCCGATACGATCTTTCCAAAATTTCTCCAAGTCATCAAAGACACCAGAGAATAGTAATGGCGATAATAGCCATTTATAAAATATTTCCTTGGAAACATTTTTTTCAGGAAAACAAAGCAAGTACAAAAATTAATATTTGTAGGAATTGTTTTAATAGAGGACGGAAAAAATGTGACAACGAAATTCTAAGGCTCATTGGAATAGCAAAAGATGCCTTCCAAAAGTTAAGCATTACCATATTATAGAAACTATATCACTTGTTTCAACCTAAAAAGCAAGTTCTGAGAGAATTGGAAATCCTACCGTGATTCAGCTTCGGCGACCACAATCTTACCAATACAGTGATTTTTCAAGCATTGCATGGATATGGCACAAGGCCGAAAGTAAGGGGCATCCAGTAGAGGATCGAACACACTACTCAGTTGTAATTGTTCTAGCGAGACAAGTTAGCTAACCATTACACCACCTCGAGGTGCCCTCAGTCTTACCAATATAAGATACGCAGATGACACAGTACAGATAGCAGACACTGAAAAGAAACACGTCACTTTTGACGAAATGAAAGCCTTTTTGTTCCTTATTGCATCCCCAGAACTTCAGGAGGAATAATAAAAGTTAAAGTACGTTGAATTATTTATGTATTTTTTAATGTACTTGTTTTTTTTTTATTTATTTCGCGTTTCAATTTTTTTGTTTTCAATGTTAAAACCTGCATGCAAAACGAAATGCATGACATCAAAATATTATTTATTCATTCATTTATTAGTGTACAAAAATTAAAATCTATACGTACAGTACAAAGAAAGTTATAACAGTTTTAAAACAGTGCTGGAGCCCCTTGTAATTGTCTCAAGGTCCTTGATAAAATCCAGAGACGGATATGCAATGTAATTGGCCCTGATCTGGCATCTCGTCTGCAGTCACTCTCTCACAGACGTGCCGTCGCCTCTCTCTGTCTTTTTTTTTACAAATACTTTCACGGTAATTGCTCCGATGAGCTGCTTTCGCTGGTTCCCAGACTTCATGAATTTAAGCGTTCAACTAGGCTGGCATCTCGCTCTCACCCTTTCACTGTCGAAACTGTTAAATGTAACCGTTTCTTCTACTTCAATAGCTTCATGTCTCGCACCTCTCACCTGTGGAACTCCCTCCCCTTTTCCTGTTTCCCTGATATCTATAATCTCCAACTATTCAAATGCAATGTCAATCGACATCTCCAGATGCCTTGATCTATCCCCTATCTTTCTCTTCATCCTTTCCTCTATAATTCCTATTTGCTCTCACTCCAACTCTCTGTAACCCCTTGCGTGCTAATGGCTTCCCGCCTTGCTTGGGGTTGAACGCTTAAAAAAAAAGAAAAAAACAGATGTTCATGTTTTTGCATCCTCAAAAAAAAAAAATGCAGTTGCGGGGGGGGGGGATTCTAGAACGAAATTAGCGTAGTAAAGGTTCCAGAAAAATAAGCAAATAATTATAATTAACTGTTACTTAACAGGTTCGTCATTTATTATTAGCACGCACGAAAACAAACCAATACTTAAGTCTCTTATCCTGGTTTGGTAAAAGGCAATGAATATAGAGCTCTCAGTGATAATCTCCAGTATTTCAGTCGTAATGTTCTGCTAGATCAATTGCTCTATGGTGAGTTACTCCTATGCATATTTTCTAACATCAGTTGAGTATAGCACAAGGCCATACCTGAGGTGCGTAAAATGATGATCAGACCGATTTCAGTTATTACTGCCTAGCTTAGTAATTACTTTAAAAAAACGTATAGTGTATGCTGATATTTATTCAATTTAGCTTAATGTGCCCTTCCATAGTAAGGCTCGAACTCACTCGAATGAAATGATCTTGTGAGATTAATGATACATTCGCCTCTCTACAACTTCATCTACCTTGCAGTTCTTAATAGACTTTGTCTTTCTGTTATTTCTTGTAAGTCTTGTTCCGCCATCCATGAAGCTCACTAAGTATGTTATGCATGTTTGCCTCTGTCCCTCTTGACCTCAGTCTGTCCCCGTGTGTAACAGATTTT